GTCGATTATCGAACAGAATATCCAATATGAAATGATTGGAATAGTAATCACCTAGGTTGGTCTGGTCACTTATATGATTGACTTATCAATAACATAGAAAACATTTGATCTTTTCTATGTACTTCCGCAATTCTGCAATTAACAATAAATAACAGTGTAGGATAGTTTACCACTGTCATAAAATGCATACTATAAGATCATTGATATAGCTGGTAATCGGGTACTACATAATCACTTAAATAGGGTATGAGCGTTGCTTTTTGAAGGGCAGAGGGGAGAGGGCTGCCGCCTAGTGTTGTAAAAAATACCCATGTATTTCAGTAAAGTTATCGTCTGTCGTGTTATAGTTATTTTTTTATTGTAATCGCTCAGTGGCGCAACTAGGGGAAGGAGGTGCAAATGGGTCTTTAGCACTCCTTATTTTTTTATATCTATCTATTATTGTTTTAGTGAAATACCATGACTCTGTGAGGGATTAACAGTTTTAGCACCCCACATTTTGGAGATTTAGTTGCGCCTATGTAATCACTCCTCTTTCAACCACACTAAATAAAACTATTATTGGAGTGGGCAATAATATTTTTGGTATAAACATAAAATGTTTGAAAAAAACCCAAAAATATTCATTACAAAAAAAAAAAGAACATACTTAAAATACCATCCAAAATACTTCATGTTAAAAGTATTTGAATACTTTTACTCAAATACTTCAAAAGATGTTTTTAGCTGAAATAATTGTCACACAACCACTGTTCTAACATATTCGTATCAACTAATAATAACTGCCATCAATAAAAGTCACAAACAATATGTGTTACTGTGTTAGTGTATATTCAATAATTTTTTTATTTTTTCATAAAAAAAAAAACAACCAACATTTAACTGTTTTTGTCCGATATGGACTAGACTTAAATTGTTTATTTTCCAAGCATACCTACCAGTCTATTCTACTCATACATAAGTAGATACCTACGTCATAATTGGAAGAGTAGAGTTACTTTGAGTTTCAACAGCAAGCTGACTTACAAGAATGAAATTTATCGTCATCGCTATTAATATTATGTTCACTACATTTTTAATTGTAGTACCCAAATATAAAGACTTTTAAGCACACAAGGTTCAAATTACACATAAAATTAAAAACTATTAGCTGAATTACCCGTTGCTGCCGGGTTACTCTAAAAAAATAAGATTTTGGATAATTAAACATATATAAATATGAACAATGAATACATAGTTATAATAATACGATAATGTTTAGAAAAAACATAAAATGAAAATTAATATATATACCTATATGGCTACATACCTAACGCGTTTAGTTCATTTTGGTACCAGGTAACCGTTAACATTTATAAAAATGGGGGTCCATAATATATATTATATTGAAAATAAATCATAGTCCGTGAGATTATATTTTTTCAATATAATATAGTTTCCAAATTATTGATTGCTGAGTTCCAAGATCATTTAACTAGCCAAGCTATAGCGAGAAAATACAAAAGAATTATGTAATAGATAAATGTAAAACAAATTGACTTTGGAACATAAGGTAAAGATTCGTATTTTTAGACGTTTCGATTATCAGCAGAAATTTAATTTTTAAACAAACTCGTTAATACAATATTGTCACTTGTCAGCCTACTGTAACCACTGAAAACTCTATATGATATCATGTAGAGACAGTTTATCACTCATCTACAATCTGTATTTAATATTTAGTTCACTAGATCAGTGCTTTCGTATCGTCTTTATGAAAATTCGAGAACATTCTCTAGTCTCTACCAGAGTTTATGAAATCATGAATCATGAGTCATGATCGTGTTTCAGGCCTTCAGGGTAATTTATTAGATTATATTGAGCCGTAGTTGATAATAATTTTTTTTTTATCTTCTATTATCTATGAGACATCGAGATAAAGAATATTCTTATGAAGTAGGCCAACCGAAAACTTAACACACCAATCAGCTGATTGGACATTTAAGTGTTGCTTTAATTTTGTTTCGTGGTATGACTGTGCTGTTTGTTTTGATTATAATTTAATGACGAATAAAAAGATTAGTAATAGTGGCTAGTGCGCATAAAAACAACGTAGAAATAACAGTTGTGATTAATATTTACTGTTTACAAATACGGAAGAATTTTTAATCAAACTTACACTGAATCAAATCTGTGGGATTCGATATTGTGTCGTGAACGCTAAAGTATATTTGAACAATCCAACGACGCGTTGTTAAGCAAAACGAACGAATTCAGAGTGTTGTTGGGCCTAAGAAAAACGATTACGCATTTAGCGGTTTTAACCAGGCGTAGGTAAGACGATGGCAATTCCGGTAGTCGGTATATTTATTTAACGTGTGCGAATATTTTGTTTCGCTAGAATGAGAAGATGGCTGCTACTCTACTAGAGAATACAAAAGGGATGACCGATTCCGAAACTCATCTGTTGTCTTTCAGCCTCGATAATTTGGAAATCGATCCCACCAGGTATAAATTATTGTTTGTAGTACAGTTGATTTTCAAGAAATGTCTCTGTTTTTGTTTAAGTACGTACATTAATGATAAGAACTTTTGGAGGGTTGGATACGGGAAGACGTGATTTAGATTATTAATTATTGCTCTATTAATAAATTTCGTTTCACGATTCAAAAATATTGACATCTTTTTTTTAGATTACCGTGTTTATTTTGATTCCTTGAAAATAATGTGTTTATTCTCGGTGTTTTTATTATTTTATAATCCCCCCTCCAGCCCTATCATCACAACTGTTTTGCAGAACAGTTTATTTGTGAAAGTAGAAAATAGATTAGTTACATAAATAGAAATATCTATTTTCAGTTTTTGTCAAAGGTTAGAATTTTAGTCAATACCAAAGTATTAATTAGTTTATGTGTACATTGTACATACAATATATATTTATTTTATCGTAGGAAAATTAAAAGTATTTTATTAGGCAACTAAGTGTTATTGTTTTTATGAATTTTACATTCAATTATAAAATCTTATTTTAAGTTTATACTAGCCTGTTTAAATGAAACTCCTGAACATAGATCAAATTATATTTTATACTAAGAAATGGTTATTATATTTTTTAGGCCTCATAAGTATCCCGGAAACATTGTTGAAAAAGATAATGACAATAAAGAACCCTATCCAACTGGTTGTGTAATATGCCGTTGCATGAATACAAAATCACTAACCTGTGCATATCCTCAAAAACAAAGTACTGAATTGCCAACAAAAGATTGCATTCTAAGGCCTCCTAAGTTAAACAGAGTAGAGAGGTGTAAGCAACAATATGCAGCAGCATCTCCTGTACCTGTCAATCGAAGGTTTAATCGTAAACAATTAAATCGAAAATGGTCGACTGATGATGAATTTCTATCAGAATTATCATTGAACAATAACAATAATAGTAATGAGTGTACCAATGTCATACCATGTACGGACGATGTAACAATTGACGAGTTGGCCAGTTATTTTGAAGATCTAGTTCACATTCCTAAAAAAATGTCTGACATGGCTGAACTGATGTACAATTAAACACATATAGATCATTTATTGTTATTCTGTTTATGTTTTAGGTAAAGCTTTTACAAACTTAAAAGGATATAATAATAATTTGTTGTAATCAATCATATTCGATTGTTATATTATGTATAGCAATTGAGAATACTGTTTTAAATGTTAAAATATGAATTGTTGTCAATGATCGTTTTAAAAGACCAACTCATGAAACAGTATAATTATATAGCCACTTATTGAATAATCATATGATGTGTATAAGGAAGTAAATTACTAATACTTCATTACTATTCATTATGTAATATACCGATAGTCAAGTGTGTATTTTCAATAATTTTTTTACTAAAATAGTTTGGTTGTAAGAATAAAAAATAAATATATATATATATCTACTCATCACTTAAATTAATTTAAATTTTTTCTTAAGTGCATATAGTTAACTATTTAAAATTATACGAATTCTATAGTTTATTCACATGTATTTTTCATTAATTATTTTACAACTAAAATGTAAAACAAACTGCACATTTAATATTTTTAATAAATGAATCTAACATTTTCCGAAAATTACTTATCCTTAGCCATATATAAATTGAAATTGTATTAGTTAGGCAAGGTTTTGTATTAATTTTAATAGAATTATGTGAAATGTATTTTGCAGAAATCATTAAATATTAGTTATTATCTAAATTATGAACAGTTATTAGATTTTAAATATATGCAAAATATCATGACATGGGTAGAAAGATTATATTTTAATATTAAAATGTAATAATTGATCATAATTTGTGTGTAATAATTTTTATTACTTATTAACAAAATAATGTTATCTTATATTTTAAATTTATTATATTTTTTGTAGAACATGTAATATCTATTCATTTTTAAGCATACAAAATAGTAAGCTTTCAACTTTTTAGAATTTATAAATATATCTTGTTTAATTGTTGTTTAATTATATTCATGTGTAATTTTAATTAAACATTGTTTTATTTTAATTCAAACAACCAAACCAATTTAATTTTAGTAATATTACCTATATTTTCTGTTTTAAAATTTATAAACGTACTTATAATTATATGTTTTATTTATCTACTAAAGTATTTTATTGAATAATTTTTTTTTTTTGGAAAGGGTAATTATTTGTCAAATTAAAGAGTGTAAGCAATCTCTTGTTATGTCAAATGTATGTGATTTTGCATATGACTATTATTACCAATTACAATTGAATAAATTTAAAATAAATAAGACTTATTGTTTAATTTTATAACTTTTTAAGTAAAAAAAAAAAATTGATTGCTCAATATTACAAGTTATCTTTAATAGTTATTTAAAAAATTCTTTTGTAAAAATGTGCCTGATAATTAATGCAGTTATAGCATAACGCCAAGCATTCCATATATTTGATATCATACAATACTGTTAGAGATTTATTAAATTATACTAAAGTACAATTATTTATATAAACAGGTAGAAACAGATGCAATGAATGTTTATTAAAAAAAAAAAATTAATCATTGATTATTAGAACAGCCTATTTTTTGTGCATCACTCTTTGGACCATTTGCACATCCTTTCCCACAACAACCATTGACTGGTCGATAATTTGGTGTCCAGCCACCTAAACTATTATTACTATAATAATCCATTGGATAACTTTCTTTAGAATTGAATTGAATTTGATTCATAACTACAGCACCCTCGTAAGGCGACAAAAATGGTTTTTCAAATGCAGTGCCCCAATCAATAGACAACCGCGGACATGCAATCTGTATCCAAGCATCAACTGTATCCCCAAATAAAGATAATTTCTGTGGAAATATTTCTGATAGGAGAATAGTCACAGAGTTCTTCAAATGTGATCTCATTTGTTCCTAGAAATGACACAGTATAATACAAATTGAATATTATTACATATAATTACAAATAAGCACATTTAAGCAATAAACATACATGAAAATAATCCAAAACTTTAGTACTTCCTTGTCTGCCTAGAGTGCCTAAAATCAAACCAAAAGTTTTTGCATCTTTAGCTCGTTCAATTGCTTTCAGCCTCGTATCTTTCATGACATCATGATCATAGTATTCTCTAGTCAATTTTCTTTCATAAGGGTCATACCTAAAATGAATGCATATGTCACAAATACTATTATACTGGCTATTGAATAAAATGTGTCTCATTAATTGATAATAATAAGAACAAAATGGAAAGTAAAATTTAAATTATTAATATTTATTTTTTAAATTAATCTTTATTTTAGTTTCAAAGCTTAATTGTTAGTGTAACATTATTTTTATTTATTAGAATTTTAATATTAGTCTTATAGTATTTAATAAAATAAGTAAGAACTTAATTTATTAAAAATTGATATTTTTATTTAAATTAATAATAATTGGTGGACAGTAAATAGTATAAACTAGTAAATTTGGAAGCTACCTAATTACCTAACAAATAATTGTTGATTTAATTTGATATGTTAATAAATATGTTACTATGAAAGAAAATTAAAGAAATCTATCCGTACTTGTTTACCTGTATGCTGCAAGTTCAGGATTAGCTATCATAATGGATTCTAAATGGAAACGACCATCACCTAAATAAATCAAGCAATCAGCGTCTGAAACCTTTGGTGAGGTACATCCCAAAATTTCTCCGGGTGACAGTGGTTTTTCTTGAGGAACTTTTACGCAAAAACTAAATAGAAAAATTATGAAAACAGAAAAATCTTTAATCAAGGTGTAATTTAGAACAATAATCATAATGTTCAACTACTAACCCGTCTGTTTTTAATTTATTAATCAACCCTTGCAAAGTGGTGACAAACTGAACTGTGCTTACAAATAATAATCTCTGTTGTTTAGTAAAGTTCAATTTCACAGTTTCGATAAGGTGGATAGCGTCGATTTTGATGTCGACAAAAACATATAACACTTTGACCCCTTCAGTTTGGTCAACAGGAATGAGACAACTGTGGCCATAATGCACCAACAGGTCGACACCAAGCGCTTTGGCCGTGAAATCATCAACACAACATGCACCGTAGGTAACATCTCCCATAATTACCGTGTCTGCACAGGTGAATTTTTCGATAATGTCGCACAACTGTACAGCAAACATGGTCAGGCCTTCGGGCATTTGCAACGCAACGCGCTTGGCTTGCATTTGACGTAGTCGCCATATGGTTTTCGGCAGTTCAAAGTTATAGTTGGATGGTAACGATTTTATAGCGGCGATTAGTTCCGGGTCGTTGGTAATCTCATCGGGTATTTTGTTCAGCACTTTGGCCGACGGTCTGAACACCTTCCGTTCGGTTTTAGCCTTTACGACTACGGCATCAGACATGATCAATGTTTCAATTAATACACCGATACCTCATAAAAATAAACCAACTATATTCATATTCATTCGATTATTTACAAATAATAATAATCACCAATTGTTTCAAATGTTGAGCATTAAATATTATTTAATAAATTCTTTGAAAAATTGAAATTTTGAATTATTGGCCTAAGTACACAGCCCACAAGGTGACAAGATAATAAATATATTATTAATTTATTATCACAATATAATCAGTAATGTTAAGATTTTCAAGTTTATTATTTTTTATCAAACATAACAAAAATTACAGAATAACAATTTTAAATATCTAAGCATTAAAGCACGGAATAATTCTCATACAAGATCACTGAATAGATTAATTATTAAATTTTGTTTCATTTTGTGGTAAGACCATAAAAAAACTAGAATGGATACTTTTACAAAATCTTCTGTGAACTCGGATATTTCATTGTTAATATACCTACTAATTTTATCATGCATAAACTTGATAATTTTACGACTATTCTTTTCTACTTTATATAGATAAAAAATTTCAAATATGTATTAATTTAAAATGGTATGAACTATGAATGTGTGGCGTGTGCATATTAAAATTTGCATAAGACTCACAGGAACAGCATAAAAATAATAGTTTAAAGTTTAAACAGAAAAACAGAATATACCTATCATGGTAGTTAGTAAGGAAGTCAAAGACTAAAAAATAAAACTTATTATAATAAAGCTGTAGTGTGCATATAATCACAGGTAGCATTTAATGTTTTAAGCTTTCAGAAGATCCATTTTTTAGTAGGCACAATCTAGAAACTAAAAATTATATTTTAATCTAAGATCATATAGTTGAGATATTCAGTACTATCAATTAAAAATTTAATTATAGCTACTACTTACTAATGATAGTATTTCATGATTCATGAAATGTACCCATAAAAATTAGGGTCAACATTTTTGTGAGTAGTGTGATAGCAAAGGGTTATACTGGAGAGAATCACACAATAATACGTATTATAGCTCAATTATGGGAATGGTTAATAAATTCACGCTAATATTAAATTATAAACAAAAATATATTTTAAATTTACAGATACAAATTATTTTTTAAATAATTATCATAATCTTTTAATTGAGAAAGAAAACCAGCATTAGGATTAATAGTTAATCTTGTTTCTTTAACGAGTTTGAAAGCATGTTCAAAACCAATTTTTAAATGCTTCATAACATATGCTATAACAATTGTTGGTGAGCGAGATATACCAGCATTACAATGAATAAATACACGACGATTCTGTAGACGAATAGTTTCAATGTATAAAAAACATTCATTAAAAATACTATTCATATTGAATGATGGTAAATCATAGGCTTCAATAAATTTGTACATATAATTATTGTACTCGGGTACTGTAACACCAATACTTAATACATCAGTTATTTGTAATGCATTTAAAATATTTGGATCACAAGCAATATCTTGTGAGCCAAAATATAAAAACTCAAACACATGGCCAGCATTAAGATCTGGATTTGAATCAACAATAAAACCATAAGATTGTTCGTTTAACAAACATTGTTTTTTAAAACCATCTGCTAATTTTATTTCTTTAAAAATAAGACCACTTTCTGTAATTACTTTTGTTTCAACGCTTTTTAAACTTTTTTTTTTACTTTTTAATTGATCTAAGAAACTCATGATTTTTAATCTTTTCAATTGACTTGGCAGTACGAGCTTCAAGTGCAATTCTTCGATTTTCTATACGTTGTTTCACTATTTCTTTTTTTAAATCTAAAGTCATTTCCACAGGACTTTCATTATGAACTGGTTGTTCCACTTTATTATATTCTAATGGTAAAGCTAAGTCTTTTTCATCATATCCAATGTCGTACAAATATAAGCCATGGCTAGGTGCTGTTGAAACTTTTGTATTCCAACTATTAATTGACGGATTATCAAACATGTATTTAACATCATCATACGTAATTATTTGCTGTGCAACTTTAATTAGCACACCAACCGTACGTCTAATCTAAAAACAAAAAAACAATAATTTAGTTGAAGTATGATAAAATGTATAATCGTATATTTTTTACTTATGAAATACCTTAAATCATTATAACTTTAAGGATACAATAATTTAAAAATATTTAAAATGTGTAAAAGTCTTCATGTATATAAAAACAGAAGTTTAGAACATGGTTGGTGTTTACAAGTGTGTTAACACTTAATAGTTATATTTTAATATTATGAGTTAAATATGATGCAGCAGCAGGTATCAAAAGTCATAATTCAGTCATAGATAAACGAAAAAAAATAAATGGTACATAAACTTTTTTTTTAAATGTATAAAAAGATGTCTTAATCTTAAGGTTAATATAGCTATTAGGAGAAATAGCTATATTATACTAAGACTTCATGTACATGAAAAAAATTATAGAACTTTTGAATATTCAATAATTAAATAATAAATGTAAACTGTTTATTATAAATTAATTCTATAAATAAAATCAATACTACTGCTATTAAATTAATACTTAAAAAATACTAATGAAATTAACAGTTAAAAAATAATAATTAAGTGCATGTTGATCATAAATTCTTACTTGTTTGTAAAGAAATGATTTTGCATCAATATGAATATCCCAATAGTTATAATATTTATCAATGTCTGTTGGATAAAATGAACGGCCTGGAACTATTTCAATATTATTCCATGTACGTATTGTACTTATTCTAGAAAAAAATTTAAGTATTAAAGGTATAGCGGTTTTAATATACATATATAACATACACAAACTACATTTATCACATTGTTCAAAATTAAAAATATGAATTTTTAAGTTAATAATACATAAAATATTATATGCAATTTATTGTAAAATTTATTATTTTCACAATATTGTATAAATATTGACAAATCAATAGACTTATTAAGATTTTATCGATAAAAGTGGTAAAATATAAATATCAATGAATTACAAACTTATCTCACTAAATATCTTAATCCTTGCATTTATTATAATGTTGTCTGGGCTACAAAAATTATAAATATCAAATAATCAACTCAATCAAGTTTTTAAAGTAAAGGGCATTTTATACTTTATGATTTAGTTAAATTTAAACCAGATTTCAAATATTTAATATTCTGTTTTTATTCATGCCAAGAAGGAACTTTGGTGGTAGTCAAACACTTATTTATTGCCTAATCAAATAAACCATCTGTACGTCTGCTATATAGTGTATATTAAAGACACACCCTTACACACGGGTCGATTTCTAAAGATCTTTCTTAACGTGTATAAAGTATATAATTTAAAAGAAATATTTAGAAAAAATTACTCTGTATTGATTCCAGATTTTCCCATAAATGTTTTGAAATCTTTAGTTCCAATAAATAGTGGTAGTACATTCTTCACTAATTCTACATCAAAATTATGACTACTACTGGAACCAGTTAAAAAAAATAAACATAGATATTAGTTTCGATTAAAAAGGAATTGTTTAAAAATAAGATAACTCACTGAATAAAATAACAACGTTTCACTTCCGTAATTGGAATAGGGAACACAAATCTTTCAGCATATAGATCTTTAAATTCTGATTTGATTACTGCTAATCGATATAAATATTTTCTCCACTTTGCACATGCTCTTGCATTGAAATCATTGGGAACTATTTGAGCACCAATAAGCCTTATAAATTATGAAACATATTATTATTACATTGAATCAATAAACAATTTTAATAATTATGATACAAAATATTTCAAAAAAAATATATATATATATTTTAATAATAAATGTATTTAGATAAAACTAACTGATTTAATGTATATACATGAATAAAATAACTTTTAAAGTGCCTACTACAATAATGATAGATAATTAAATGTACAATCATTATTAGTTGAATGAAAATATATTAAAAATCTATCTAAGTATTTTAGATATTTATTATTAAATAGTTAATATTTTAAACACTTTATAAGTTATAATTATAATAATTAAAATTTGATGATTATAAATAATATAGAAAATAATATAATTTATAACTATACATTTTAAACATACTTAATAGGAACTTCACAGGAGTTTAAGAAGTTATTCACCTGGAATACAAGTTTATTTGGATGACAGGTATATGGTAGTTCTAAATCTAGATGAGCAGATGACTTAAATGAATGAACTCCTTGGTCTGTCCTATAAGTAAAATAAATAATTTATTAATATACATTTTTAATAATATAATTTCAAAAATATTGGAGTTGAATATTTAAAATAAAATACAATAAATAACAAAATCTTAGAGCATATTATGTAATATACATTTTAATTTAGTAAAAATACTATTTAAACATTATGTGAAATCCAAAATTTGAAAAATTAAAAACAAAATCAGTCTTGAATTAAATTATTAATTATTGTTGAAGATAAGCCATGATGATTTGAAAAAAATAACTATTCTCGTAACTAAATATCTATTATTTAATCTAAATATCTAAGTAATTGTTGTAATTGTTATGCCATTGATCAAATATTCGCATATTGTATAATTATATTATTATTTAAAATCATATAATGTCATTAAAATGGTATTAGTGAACAACATATTAATACTACTGCACATAGGCATGGTAACGTTCTATGTACTATCCCTTCAAACCATTTCAAGTGGGAATTTGAATCATTTCAACTTGACCTGTTCACCACCAATGAAAACTAGTTACCACTTGGCTACTTTATTATTCCGAATAAAGTATAATATATAATATGTAAATAATTATAATTTTGTTTTCAAAATAAAAATTATATTCTGTAATATTATAGATACATCTTGGAGGGTACTTTAATGTTTACAAATTTTACAGATTGATTAATTTTATTTTAAATAGTTACTAACCGGCTTGATAAATGTAATTTTGGAGTATTTAAAGGTTTTAATTGTTTTAAAGCATATTCTAATAATCCTTGTACTGAAGATGGATCATCATTATGTAGCATATCATAAGTCAATTGTCGCTGTACTCCGCTAAAAATTTAAACACAATCTAATATAATATTATGTATACAAATGTTTAAGACTTCAATAATTATAAATTATAATACAACTAACATACTTAAAAGTCAAAAAATAATAAGATAAATAATACAAGTTATTTACCAATACACTGCATGTGCTAAAATTATTAGCAAAGTAGTCAGAGATAAAAGAAAATATTCTACAACAAATCACATTTTTTAAGTGAGATTTTAGTATAGCATTGGTAAACTAGATTAGGTACATTTTAATTTATTTCAAACATAATATTAATTTTCTCTAGAGAAATAACAATAATATAATTGATAATACACATAAATAAATTTAAAATATAAATAGTTTGTTAATTTTTCAAATTGTACAAATTAAATGTTTTTCTCGCTGAATGGCAAGATGTAATCAGCACAATTTTTAAAAACTAAACTAAACTTCAAGAACACGTTGTATAAGAAAATATTTAAAATATCAATGGTGAATAAATTGTTCCGTAACATAATTGAATAACTCATGATTTATGCATTACATTTTTGTAAACCATTGAATAATTACATTTTTAATATATAAAAAATATAGTTAACATAGAGTAAGTACCTTCAAATTGCTTACCGAAATCTAGTTCCAATATATGAAAAATACAATAAATATCGGTTTAAAGTCATATTTTTTGTATCTTAAAAGTAAGTTGAAAGAAAATGACTAACGTCAACTTGTAAAACAATTTAATAAGTTATTACTTATTACTAATAACAATGCTTTTTAAATATGAACATCTTATCTTTTACCGAAATACCGACCATAGAGTGAGTTCTCTATGGTACCGACTATGATACGATTGATAATAAAAATAAACTGATAAAAATATGAGAACAAGAGTCTCTACTCCTGTAAATTACCTTACGGCTGTGTCGCTGTGTGATCCCGGATCCGCACTGCCGAAGTAAATCGGTAATGCATATTGATATTACCTATTTTATTAGATATTCTATCTTGTGCCTTGTGGCAGTTCTTTCATTTTGTAAGTTAGTCATTTAATACTACGCGTAATACGTCTATACCTACTACTGTAGCCTGTAGGTAATGTAATTGACGTATATAACAGATATTTTTCGATTACCGATTCTTAAACCGTGAAACGAGTAAATATTGACAACTACAATGAAATATTATTTAATTTTCTATTACATATACCTACAATACAGTTATTTTAGTACTGATCAGTTATCAAACAGTTTTTTAAAAGAAATGTTGAACACGAATGCTAAAAAAAATCTTAGATCATACCTATACGTAATATAATTATACAAAAAATAATTAAGATGACTTTTAACTCATAACATAATAGTCTATTTTAATAAATTTATAATTTTTTTTTTTTAAAAAGTTAATCAGTTAATTTTTATGAATTATAACAAATAATTTAACAATATTAATATAATCTAATAAATAATATTTAATTAAAGCACTAAACTTATTATTGTAATTAGTAGGTATTTGGAAAAATAACATTTTTTTATAGTAGGTATGACGTTACAAAATATGAATGAGTAGGTACATATAATTAAAAAAAAAAATCATAAATCATTACTGCTTGATAATACCTATATACATATATATATATAAGTACCTACAACTAAGCTTAAAGTTAACTATAAATTAAAATATTTTTATTTCCTGTGTATTGTTGAATAAATTGGATTCCTTGACATCCATATAAAGAAAAAGCCAAGTCTTTCTTTTGAAGATTTTTTTTTTTACAAAATGTTTCCAATAAATTAATATCGATGTTTTTATGTCTATATTTAATAAAAGTCCATATCTTTGATACACCATACTTTGCGGTCTCTATTATATTTTCTGAATATTGTTCTGCATTAATAAGTTTATACGCTTTTTGTATGGGCTCTATTTCTAAATATCCAATCACCTTAAAATTAGGTAATACCGCTAAATATGTAGAATATTTATCTGATTGATTACTTGTATTTGAAATACCATATTCCAAGCACACATAATCATTCACATCTTTGATTGATTTTTTTATGTTTTCATTATTATAATAGTTTTTACATAATATTAAAATCTTAAAGAATAAATCATTTTGTTTAATGTTGACTATGTCATCATCTAATATATCACCATTAAAACGTAGTTTATAAATATTTTGATGTAAAATATCGTGAAAAGATTGACTCCAATAAAGAGGAATATCAGATAAAGTAATTCCACAAGCGCAAAGTTTTTTTACATGTTTAGGTTTTAATGTTGATAAAAATACTGGAACTAAAGCTCCATTTGGCAATTCCACCATATAATTATCTTTACCTGTATCATATTCTAGACCAATATCTTCAACAGTTTCATTTGTTTTCACACAGTTCTTTGTTTTTTTCTTATCGCATGATTTTTTAATTCGCAAAATATCTGATGTAGTTCCCAGTGGTTTGTCCTTTTGTGAACGTTTTGATTTACTTTGTTTTGTATTTCTTATTTTAGTATGAATGGTTTTTTTAATTTTATTAGAACGATTACAATGATTGCAAACTGGTTCAGAGATAACACTTTTTTCAATAGATAATTGAGAATTTGATCTTTGTTTAGAAATTGATTTTGGTTTATTACTATCGGAATCTTTATGGTTTAATTTAAGTTTTGGTTTAAAAATGTCAATCTCATCAATAGTTTCAGTTTGTTCAACTTCTGTAGCCTCGTTTTCGATTAAATCTGGAACATTTATATTGTTTGATGGATGCTGCGTTAATAGCTCATCACAAATGTCTAAACTTATGTTTAATGGTGTTTTTATTTGTATAACTGAATTATCTGTACCTGGTGTGGGATAAAATTGGCTTTTCAAATCACTATTATCTTTACTTACAAATAATACATCAGATAGACTACAATCTGATAATATTTGATCTAAGTTTAATTCATTATTAATATAAACATCTTTCTGTTGCAAGTTAACAGAATTAGTTTTCATACGAGAAAAACCAAAATCTGTTATATCTGATGACATTGACGATTCTAAATTGTTATTTATATTTTCGGCAATGTTAGAAATATTAATCAATGTTGGTCGTTTCTTATTTGTTAAATTCGAATAGGATTCATTTTGTTTCGATTCCATACTAACAGACGAAGTATTAATCTCTTTATTTTTTGATATAGTTCTTAAATATTTTATATCAGGAAAATCAGAATCAGAAGAAGATTCAAAAGCGTATGCAAATTCTTTATTTAAATCAATTGAGCTAGGATATGCAATATTTTTATTCTTAAGCCCATGTCTTTTTTTCTTGTAATTTGATACGTTTTTTAAATCAGATAAGTTATATTTATTCTTCGATGGGTTTAATTTGTATGATAAAAAGCTAGAATCTGATTCGTATATTGGTTTTTTTCTTTTAAGTTTTTTAAAATATCGTATTGAGTTGTTTGTAGTTTGACGTGATAAACTTGACGCTAGCCCTGTATTAAAGGTTTTAGTAAAATCTATTTTAGCAGGATCATGTTTTATATTACTTCTAATTTCATTTTCCGAGTCTGAACTAATAGATAAATTATAGGAAGAAGACGATTTTGTAACAGAAGCCATTTTGGTTTACAATACTTTTGAATATATAAATTTTTTGCTTAAGTTGACACTGGCTAGTAGGTTTGTGTTATTTTGAAAATTTGATTGGTGTGTTTTAATACATTTCTGAAAAAATATGCCCAAAATCATTAGGTATGAATTTTAGGAAATATAACTATGTATACATATAGTTGGTTAATGGATATAGGTGTGTAGTGTGTACCAACAGTTTAATTAAATGTCATACTTGATTCATAACATAGATATGTAATATCTTAAAATAAATAAAAAATATCATTGTGTATGGTAAAATTTATAATAATATAATATACACGTAAACGTTTCTATAAATGTTTTTAAATTAAAATAAAAAAATTATTACCTACTGTTATTTATCGTTTAAATAAGTAATTTCATCTAAATTTGAGATTGAAATTTCTATAAAAAATAATTGCTTTTACATATTTTTATATTTTATAGTTCTAGTATGAACTATTTATGACTTAATGAAGAATCTTGTATTAAATTTTCAAAACTTTGATATAAAAATTAAAGTTTTTATAAATTTTCAACAGTAAAATTATTTTTTAATTTTCGTGATTTTTATGAAATTTTTCAAATTTTAACTTTAAATACAGAAAATATTGTTGCAATAGATTTTTGATATTTTTCAATTAAGAAATTAACAATTTATGAGGTTTTGTATTAAATTTGTAAGCATTTCTACTCGGCGAATAATTTTTAATCGATATAATAGAAAAATTCTTATGTTAATAAATATTTCAGAAATATTTTAAAAACTTGATCGTAAATAGAAAATGGTAATTTAAACATTTGTTGAAAATTTCAAGTATCTACGGTTATTCATTTTAGGAACTTTATAATCAATTTTGTTGGTAACTAGATACACGTAAAAATTCTCGCTTTTCTTAATTTTTTTTGTTTTTCTGATTAAAAAAAAATGTATGAGAATTTTTAAACTATAGATAATTTTTAGCAAAAACTACCGCTAATATTGAAAATCAAAGTATTTTATCAACTACTTTTCGTGTATACATTTCGAAAAACACATATCATTATAAAATCAATACATTCATCACTCCATTTAAAATCTAAAAATAATGATTGTAGTTATTTTATAGTAATTCTTTGAGATTGATTTGAAGAAATTTGAAATATCATAATTTTTTGATGATTAAAATCTTAAAATTGTCATTTAAGATGAACTGCCACCGGGTGCGGTAAGAATATGAACTCATAAAAAGTTTGAATTAAATTGATTTTTATAAATTATTATTAATAATTAGTGATTAGCCATTAGCTATACCTACTTAATATCATAAAGTAGGTATTTTGTTAAATAATATTTGTTGTGTTATTTATACATTATAAGTTATAACTTATAAAGGATACCTATCTACAATAGTACCTACAGGTCATACAGGTACAAATTTATTTTTTAATTATTTATATTATTTGAAGATATCTCAAGATAGAATCTACTATCCAGAGTCTAGACACTATTGTTTTAATTAAATTTATAATACTTTTAAAATTCATGAATTTTTATTTTAACTATAAAAACTGTATTCAGTTTACGCTCATATTATTTTAATAGATATTAACTCATTAAATTGTATATAGTAAAAGTACAATAATAAATTAAATAGGTACCTACCTAAATACCTAGTGGACTCCATATCTTAAGGCTTAGCCTGTTTCGTAAATAAATATAAATGTGTTCATCAATAAGTTGTTATTTTTTCAATCAATTTATTAAAACCCTATAGCATAGGTTAATAAATTAAGCGTATTAAATGACATTGTGGTTATTTTTTTTTGATAATAAATTAAATCACAATATTACTTTTATTAGCACAATATTAAAATAATTTATTCTTGTGATATTTACTCAATGCAACGATTTAGGGGTTTCCGTTTCACAAAGAAAATATAAATAAACACCTAGTTGATTAAAGATATGTCAATTATTCTAATTGGCAGTTATGAGCTACTCAGTATATTATTATAATATATTATGTTAAATAATTTATGATAAATAGCTTAATAAGCCATAGAGGTTTATAATTAACGTGGACCGCGGTGAAACGTAATAATGTCACGGTAATTTGTTGTATTATTATGACGAAGGAAGAAATACGACCACAGGTTTTGGACCTAATTCAGTTCTATTATTTGGTAACTAAATCGTTGATCAATATTGTTCTGTAAATTACACAAATATAAATAATAAATAAAGTTACCAAGTGTATAAATTTAATCGTAATTACGTATTACTTTTCGGTAAACAGTTAACTACTAAGCCGTAGATATTAATTAATTAGCACATATAGGTTAAACTTAAATAACACCAATAGATTAGTGACTTTAAAATAAATGGACATTTATTATTTAAATAACATATATATATATATATATTCAAATAAAGTAGGTATTCACTTATTATATTTTTTTATTAATATTGACAAGTTCTTATAATAATTATATTATGTCATAAAAATATTAAATTTACGTATACAATATTCATACATAATAATAAATATTATTTATTAATTGATCGTCTTTTATTTTCAATACTATTTCAGATTTCTCAGTTTAAAAATAATAAATAATATGTATTTTTTCTTTTTTAGGTAGGTAAGCCTGTACCTGTAACTGGAAAGTACGTATTATCAAAAAGAAAGTTATCTACAATAACATAATATTACACGAATGGCTCTTAACAGGAAAAATTTTTTGTAGAATCCATGACGTCATATCTCATGAAACTGTGATAACACAAATACAAACGTAGTTAATACCAAATTACTGTTTACCTTTGGTTGGCGTCATATGGTCATAGCCGACTGATTTTCTTAGGGCATCGCGCACTTTTCCCGAAATCATGGAAAATTCAAAAAGTATATAGTGTAGATAGGTAATACAGCATTTTCAACTGTGACTTGACAGTTTAGCCGATTCTTTGTTATAGTCCCACGCTCTCGTCGCCCAAAAAGCGTCAAGACGCTTAAGACATTCCACAGTTACCAGACGCCAATTTTTATTGTATAATGCTCACTAAGAAGACGATTAATGCTGTAAACGTTGTAAGTTCATTACCAATTGTTATAAATCATTCAAATAGTTTAATAGTGTTTTTGGTCTAATAGTTATTATAATTTTGTTTAAATGAGATGTAGGTATTTATATTTTATGTTTGTATGTACATCTATCATAACTAGTAACATATAATTGCTTAATTGTATTGATTTTTTTATATATTTTATGACATTATATTTTTAATATAATATATACAGTAGAAATCAGTTATAACAAGTTCCTAAGGCATCAAATTTTTCTCGTTGTAACGTGTTAATATAAGTGCTTATACACAAAAAAAAAAAAAAACAAACAATTTGATTTTATTTATATGTAATAGAAAGACAAAATTAATACTGTATCTTATCATACAAGATGTTTCATCAAGATTCTTCAACTGTGCAGTATGCAGTCATTTTATTTGAAGTGGCATGGTTTAAAACAATATTTTATTTTTAAATGTATTCTGTATGATTGAAATCATTGACGATTAAATCCCAAATTCTTTTACAATCAAACTATTTTTCTTACTATTTTCTAACTACTTAATTACTCTGATTTTTTAACAAAAAATAACTATTGATGCGACTTGATAAACTTTTTTTTTTAACATATTTATTTTAATTTGTACAATCTGTAACAGAAATATTTACAATAAGCATAATGGAGGGTTACAATAGGTCATGGTTGGCTTGGTTGAATGAGCTATTCAATAATAGCACTTCATGGCGAGAAAGAAATAAGTAAATTAGTCCACTAAAAGATCATGACACCAGCTACGTTTTAAACGACGGGCAGGGTCGCCTGGAATTGTACGTGAAGAGAGGTTTTGGATGAGAGGGTTACGGTGATTAGCAAGTTTGAGGTAGAAACGCTTGTATTGGGTTTTGGCGATGTTTTTTTACTGTTGGAATGAGGAGGTCTCTGTGTAAGGTGTCATTCGACACATAAAGATTTTGATTCGTTGAGTTTGAATCCCCATTCTTTGTACTATGTCGAGAGCATGTCGAGGTGGATTTGGATTCTGTTAGATGCCTCGAGAGGGTCATGGTAGAAGGCTAGGATAGCTTTATCATCAGCGAAGTCACCAGTGGTGGTAAGGATGGTTATTTGATAAACTTCAACACACAACTTACGCTATCTATTAATTTAAAAACATCAGAACTTGAAAAAAATATGTTTATGTATTTTATATAACATAAAAGTACAAAACATGATATATAAGCAAGAGCACTCATAGAGAAATTCTCAAGGGGGACAAAATTTTAATTATGACTATGAGATATGAAGGGGCTTACAATTTAAAATTATACTATTATATTTTATATATCAAACTGGAAGATTATGAAATAATAATTATTTAACCAATTAACCATATAAGTTATTTATTGAATTTTCATTTCATTAATAACATAAATTTATTAAAATATTAATTTATTAATAAAAATTGTAAATTTCTTTTTTTTAACACCAAATATATTTATTACTTGTTCTATGTATTTATTCATTTTATCATCAATTTTTTCCCTATGTACACTTATCATGCACAATCCATCAAGTTCATCTTCATTGTAGATCTTGTGTAAACATTTTTTCAACATTTTACAGAGGGGGGCGTGTCCCTCCCTTGCCCCCCATATTGGCGCTCTTGTATATAAATAGTACATATTAACAAAATTAAAGATAAAATTTGAATATAAAGAGTAGGTAGCAGGTGTACCTAAATATGCACATAATAAGAAAAAGTAACACCTGTTTATAACAATTAAATATTCTATAATTCAATGTAATTTACTCATTGTAAGCGATACTTGTTGTAATGATTTCTACTGTATATTATTTCATGAGCATAAAGTTTGCATATTTTTCACACTATTTACATCAATAACTTATTATTATTTGTAAAACATAAGCTTAAAGCTAATTAAATAATTTTTTTTCAGGGCCTTTTATTAACCACTATTTTTGTGTGGTCATATGTTGTTGCTGCTGCTCGGATTATTCATGATCAAACATCATTTTGTAATTAACAAATCATTATATCTAAAATAATTATTTTTACTTATATTAAAAAGTCCTTTTACTAATTGTCTTGGTTCTGTGAACTAAACATGGAATCAGCTACTGCAGAAGAACCAATTAATCAAAAGTCTTCATTTGATTTGTCATTCAAGACAAAATCAAAAGAAATTAATGACATGTTGATTGATATTGAAAACAAATCTATCAAAACTGATAATTTCCATGATATTTTACAAAAAATTAATGAACTTCAAGAATTATTAAATGATTCGAAGACATTTTTGCCTGCCTATAATATGAAAAAGTGTTCAGATGAGATCAAGGATATAACTAAGCGTTATGAACAATTGCATGTAAAATTACAGCCCAAAAAGAAATTTACTTTTGGTAAACAACCAACTCGACAACCAACTACACCAGAAGCTAAAGCTAAAGCTGAAGAAAAGTTTGAACCAATAAGTGAACCTAAAGTTTATAAAGAAGACTGCGGATTTAAAAACCGTTCTGATGAAAATCATTTAATACTTAAGGAAGATGAATCTTTTATGAAAGATGTAGCTTTGGATACATTAACCAATTGCATTGTCCTTATTTGTGGTACACCTAGTACTGTGCGTGCGACGTCATTGACACAGTGCCATGTATATGTATGTGCAACAACATCAATTTTTATTGAGAACTGTAAGGATTCAGTATTTATTTGTGCTTCTCAACAGTTACGTATTCATGATACTTTTGATACTAGTTTCTATATTTATGTAACCAGTAGCGCTATAATTGAAAACTCTAAACAGTTACAATTTGCTCCTCTTTCACTTAAAGGTTTAATACTTAAAAAAGCATTTGAAATGGCTAAGTTTGATGAATCTAAGAATAATTGGAAAATTGTAAATGATTTTGATTGGTTGTCATCTTATGAACCATCGCCAAATTGGTGTGAAATACCAGAACAAGAGCGCAAACAACCATATGAAGACAATATGTTGTTGTACTTATACCCAGCGTTATTAAACCAGGAATCAATATTTCCAGCTGGTTATTACGACAATAAATAAATAACTTTTTTTTAATAACTTAAATTAATTTATTTTTTTAATAACCAATTAATTTTTTTTTTTAAATAGTTTTAATGTTTTTTTTTGTCTAAAATAAAATCTATGAGATAGAAAATGTATAGCTTTGTAATATTAGTTTTTAAGATATGAAAAAAATAATTAAAATAATATTTTTTGACCAAAGTTATAATATATTGTGTTAAATTTTTTACTTAGTAAAACTAATTAAACAAAGATTCTTTATTTTTTAAATCTATGGGTTACTGTATGAGTACCTAATTTAAAAAATCTAATAATCCGTAAAAATAATAATTGATTATATACATATCAATATGTCGATCAAAATGCTGGATACATATTACATATTATAATATCGAAATCTGTTTCTCTATATGAACTACTATTAAAACGTTAATGTCCTTAATATGCTTTGTCTTTTGTATAATTTTAAATCAAGCGATTGCCCTAAGAATTGGGCAATTAAAATAGTATATCTATTGTGTTGGTGGTATAGAAATCTATAATTTGTTACTGTAAAAACAGTGTGTTTATGTAATCTGATCACAATTATTATGTTAAGAAAATGATTAAATGTTGCGTATCATAGAAATATTGATATCCTGTAATAGTCTACCCAATACGCTGAGTAGTACACATTTAGATTATGTCATAATCTGTTTGAAATATAAAAATAATATCCATGTATGAAAAACAATTTAAAGGCATAAGCTAAATCTCCAGAACTCTGGTCTTGGAGAAACATGTCCACCATACCTGAAGGAGTCTGCAGCACGTTATTTCAAAATGTATCATAGTTATTGGTTCCACAGCATCCTCACACCTCGCATTGTTACACTTTTTTATCTACTAATTTGTGTTTTATTAAAATAAACAACCAATTTAACTTAAATCGACTTAGCAAATAATTTAATTTGACAACATTTAAGCCACAGACAGTCTGCACGCTACTATATGCTATTGTTATTTACCAAAATAGATTTTGGTTGAATAGTATCTGTTTTTATATAACATATATATATAATAAAATCATTGAAATAAAGTATTTTTATTATTTTTTTTGTACTTGCCTACTCTTAAAATTTTTCTCTAATTACAATATACTAAAAATGTAAGGGTTGTTGCCTATGTCTAGCATATATTTATTATAGGCACTTATACTATTTTACATAAGGTGTTTTGGTATTTAAATATAATATAATGGTGCCTCACATTATTTATCTCGATTAAATTTTTGAAAACTATTATTGTATTTTACATTTATTTATTTATTCAAATTGTAAATTAGTTCAAGAGTATATGATTAATTTTCATTGTTATAAATCATCAAATTCATAATAGAATTAATGCTATAAAAAATGACCAACATTTCTTTTATTTGAGGTATTTAAATTTAAAAAAATTTAAATAAAATACATAAAGCTCAGTCAATCCCCTATCGCTTGAATTAAGTGGGATAAATTGGATTTGACTTGTGTATTTTTTTAATTATTATCTCAAGTGTAACTTATAAACATTCTAGAAAGCAAGAAAAGACTAATTTATGAAGGTTTTAAAATGATTGAGACTGAATTGTAATGTAAAAATAATACTTATTGCCTTATTATGATACAATCAAAAGTTTTTAATGGTCAATTAAAGATAACAAAAGTAATCTGAATCATAGTAAAATTTATTTTTATTTTTTTTTATATGGCGCTTATTTTTGAGAGTAGGCCTGAAAGCTTAGTTTGGACGCCTATTTGGCAGAATTTTTAGTTGGGCACCCATACGTTTTTGCCATGTCCGGTTAGGGGATGGCAGCTTTGCCACTTAGACAGTTGCTTGCTCAAAGAGCGATGCCACCCGTAGCTGGGATTCGAACCAGCAACGGTGAGCGTCACAATCGACGCCTTAGTCCGCTCGGCTACACTGTCCTCCATAAGATTTATAGGTATTAGGTACCTACATTAATTTATGAAATAATACAACCTTTATATATATAGGCCATTTACACATGAAACACCCATCACAGCCATATTGTGAAAAAGAAAATCAATAAGAAGTGTTCTTACTTAATGGACTAAAACTGAAAATAAATTCTTGTAAATCATATACAAACGTTGGGCACATTTAAGAAAAATAGGTTTAATTTCACTTTATAAATAAATATATTGTTAATTTTAAAATACTTATTTTAAATTAATATAAAATATATGGGCAGATAAGTAAATATTAAAAAAATAAATAAATAACAGTTGAGTACAATTGATCAAAGTAAGAAATTCTTGTAAATAAAACAATCCCAAAACCAGTCTTATTTAAAATGATAACGTACATATTGTTATACTTTCTCAACCAAGAGAGCAATACCTTGACCTCCTCCAATACAGGCAGAACCAATTCCATACTTAAGATTTTTACGCCTGAAACCAAAAAAACAAATATTTAATTTGTATGTGTAGTTAATTTATCTATTATAAGCTTATTACATGGTTAGCTGTAAGTTATATTACTGTTTAGCAATGATATCAAATACATTTAGAAATTAAAATTCTGTTCATCATACAGATTTACAAATAATAATTTTTTTTTTTGACTTTCAAACAATAAGATTTAACTTTTGACAAATTAAAATATTGAATTTAAAATTACAGGTTTAAAGTTTAAATATACTTAAGGTCAAAATTAAATTATATAGTTTGTATTAGTTAGTCTACAGGGGAATTAAACTGTATGTATTAATTGGAACTAATGTTTTCAGTATGTTTAATGAGTGAGGGATGAGTCAATTTCACCAGTTTAATTATCATGTGGATGGAGTACACACCATATATTATACTTGTAAAAAATTATATTTATTAACATTTATAGTATTATCAGTAAATAAGAAGTCATAAATCAGGGAAGGGCAGCTTGAGAGAGCTAATTTTTAGAAAATTAAAAATCTAGCAAGCCAGAGCATAGAAAGCAAAAAAAAGATAATTCAAAATATGCATTTTAATTGGCATTTATTTTATTTATAATGTGAATTTTTAACTCTAAAATTGTATGCTGAAATTTGAATATGTAACAAGGGCCAGATATAAAAGGCTTACAGACTGCTAGTAGCCCATCCCTGCCATAAGCAATAAAATATTAGTTGAAGATTAAAAACCTTTTGAACTTATTAAAACACATTAAATTAAAAACTAATTAATTATGTAACAAATTAATTACACCTAGTATTTTCAAGTATAAGTGTAGAAAAAGTATTTTAAATTTAAATAAATAAATAAATTTATAAAATGTTCAATTTTGATCTTTAAGATAACAGTAAAAAAAAATTAAACTTTAGAAAATGTATTAATGTATTTATATAATTAAATAGAAAAAACAATTTAAGTTAATAAAAATAAAGATTTTTTTAATTGAAAATTAAGTTGCTATTATAAAAGAAATAAAATAAATTGAAAGTACCTATTAAAAATTGAAATTAGTATAAAACAAACGGAAAATGTATTTGAAGTATAAATTAATTATACAGTGTAATTAATTATTAATTAGTTATAATACCAAAGTGCAATGTTCATTAAAATGTTTATCAATATCAAATAAGTCTTATTGTAACGGTTTTCATGTATATTCAGCATTAAAAAGTGATGTAATGTATAAATTAAATAAATAGGTCAAGTTAAATAAACACTTCCTAGTTTTAAAGGTCTAATAATAAATATATAAAAAAAGTAACTCGGTTACCTGAGTTCATGGACAAGATGACTAGTAATTCTGGCTCCTGATGCTGCCAATGGATGTCCAATTGCAATAGCACCACCATTAACATTAAGTTTTTCAATGTCAAGTTTTAATTCTTTTTGGCAAGCAAGAGTTTGAGCTCCAAATGCTTCATTAATCTTAAAAATAAATTTGTCAGTAAATACAATATTCATTTTCAAATTCGAAAGAAACTTTAAAATAATAATTAAAATTACCTCAACCAAGTCAATATCATTAAGGGATTTTCCAGTAATGCTCAATAGTTTTGAAATTGATGGAGCTGGACCAATACCCATTATGCTTGGATCAACACCTACTACTGAGTAACCAACTAATCTTGCCAGCGGAGTCAGAGAATGTTTTTTCAATGCTTCCTCACTAGCCAATACGACAGCTCCTGCACCATCACATATACCCTATTAATTAAATAAATTATAAAGAATATCGGTAACCTTTAATAAAAATAACATTACAATGATTAATATAATAAACATGCTCTTACAGATGCTGAACCAGCAGTTACAACTCCATTCTTTTTAAAAACAGTAGGTAATTTTCCTAATGTTTCAAGAGTTGTCTTTGGCTTTGGATGTTCGTCAACATCAACAACTACATCTGATTTTTTCACTTTTATGGTTACTGGAGCTAATTCAGCACTGAATACATTGTTATCTTGGGCTTAAAAATAATTACAAACTTGTTGGTACAATGTGTATAGATTTTGAACTCAAATAAAGTTATAAAATTGCTAGTAATTTTTTTTATTACCTTTTTTCCATAAAGTTTGTGAACGCAAAGCAAATTCATCTACTCCTTGTCTTGTAATTTTATATTCTTCAGCTAATTTTTCTGCTGTCAATGCCATTGGTAATTGACAATATGTATCAGTTAATCCAGTCCAAAGACTGTCTTCAAAAACATAAGCTGCTCCAAGAGGTATACCGAAACGAGCATTACGAACAACGTGTGGAGACTGACTCATGCTGTCTACTCCTCCAGTCAATACAACATTAGACTCACCACACATGATACTCTAATGAAATACAAAATACGTGTTATCTAAACTAAGTATTAAGCTAAATAAAAATATTTTTGATAATTTTTAATAAATGCTTTATACAGGAAGTCATGTATACTTCATAAGTTTAATTTGAAGTAGATACCTGTGCTCCATTAACAATGGACTGGAATCCAGATCCACATAATCTGTTAATACCTAATGCATGGCGATCTTGTGGAATTCCACAATGAAGTAGTACATGTCTGGGTAAAAATGCACCATCTGAAGACGAGTTCTACATATAAAAAACAAACATTATAAACTTGTTTTTAGAATATTATGTCTTTAATTAAATATCATGATACACAATAAGATAATACAGTGGACAGTCGTGGAGAAATAAAAAATTCCACTACTGAGAAAACCTCTACATAATGGATATTTGTGAGAAATTACTATATATCCACTATAGGGAGACACTAAAGAGAATTGGTTATACATACACACATATATATATGCATTGAAATATTGATTTATTATTTATCATATATATATGTAGTATAAAGTGGGTATAAAAATGTTTATAAAAATTTTAACATAGGTACGTATTCAGTATTCACACAATGTGTAGCATATAACTGATTACCTACAAACACATAACCAAACCATTTTTCATTTTTCAAATAAAAAAACCTTTAAGATCAAATATGAACAAAATGTATAAAAGATAAATATAGTATTTTTATTACTTAAAAATGTTTGATATATATATGTATTGTGTTCATTTATGAGAGGTAATTTTTAATTTTGGTGCCAGTTTTTAGTGTGCTTGTCCACTATTAAGAGATTATAAATTTTATTATGTGCATACATTTTTGCCTAAGAATTTAAGTGTCTACTATTGGGAAAGGTTCACTAATGAGAAAAGTCCATTAATAGAGGTTTCACTGTATACATACAACATGCATATGAGTGTACAAACTTACCATTAGAACATTTCCAATGACAACCGAATCAACAATTTTTGGGTCTACATTACCAGCTGTAAGTGCAGCTTTAGCAGCTACTATTTGTAGTTCAGTAGATGAAGTTTTCACAAACTTACCTCCATACGTACCAAAAGGAGTTCTCTTAGCCGCCACAATAAAAACACCTGATACATGATCAACAAATTGTTTTTTATTAAATTTCAATTATAATAATAATTTATAATACAATGATTGTTTTGATATATAACAATGTACAATTTACCTTTTGTTAAAGCCATCTTGCGTAATGTAATTTATTAAATCTGATGACAATATTCGATAATTAACTTGTTTGATGGTCAAGTGTAGCTAGACGACAAGCAATGGCCAATGACTGAGAGTGCGAGTGATGTGAGTTGCAAATTGGATTGAAGAATAAAGAGTTACAATTCTAATTATTATTGTTTTGGCATTGTGACATAGGTGTCAAGTATACAGTACACAAACACGACAGACGAACAGAAAAATAGATACGTGTAATACTGTAATACGTATTACGTACTAATACGTAATAAATATTACTAATATTATTTATTACCTAATCAAAATCAAATTCCAAAGTCAAATGAATAAAATAAAAATAAAAACTGATAAAGATAAAACCACTGCCGAACAGCTGTTGATTGTTGAATCGTGCATGGTCATTTTGTGTTACGTCACCGAATCTTCAGGTATTAAACGTTAGTCATCACAAGAAAAATGTATACTGATTACTTTTTTTATTTTTTATTTTTTATTAAACATAAGACTTTCCTAGCCTATACTGATTACTAAATACATAGGTAAGCATAAAACAGATCTACACGCTGCAAGTACGCAACTATTATTGATCTATGACATACATCCATTGTTTAAATTGGAAGAACGATAATATTAAATAATATGTAATAATGTATCATCTGTGTAGTGTGTAGGTAAGAACTAAGAAGTGTAATTGAATAAATTGTTTGTCCCCTTCATTCTATGGACGACAATATTTCGTTTGGGGTTACCCAACATTTTTAAAAACTAATAATCCTACCTTCGACATTTTTTTGATGTGGCAGTTTTATCTGCATTGTCTTTTTTTGTCAGTTAAGGTCACCTAAATTTTAGATTCATCCTTTCACCACCACACACACAAATATAATAAAATTGTAAAATTTGCATATTTTAACTTAGCAACTTTGTTTTATAATTCATCAAAATTGTCTATCATTGTTTAAGTCAGGATTTGGGACCAATACATTTTACCAACTTTTTAAATTTTTTTATCTTTAAGTACGGAGTTGTGAAATTAAGTAAAATTTTAAACCCTGATAAACATAAAAATGAATCAATTATGTTTACACTTTACATATAATATCGTAATAAAAGTTTTTTAAAGTTTTAAAACTATTTTAATTTATAATCAATTCCTTAAATCCTCTACCCAATGTTACATTTGATTTCCAAGTAGCATTATTTATCGAGTTCAAACTCTATAAATAAACTTTTCGTCTTTTTCAATTATTATTATGTTAATGACTTATGATCGACATTTAAATGATAATTTATTAATTGTTTTCGTAATAAGATACCACAATCAGCCATCAATATAATATGTATTATGTTGTATCTGTTGTAAAAACATACAGTATAAATCATAAATCATAATATATTAATACAGTTTACGTTTACAATAATTCATTTCATTTTGCTATTTTTAAAATTAGGGTAAATACCTACTGCATTGTAAAACTGTAAATTGTAAAGTATACCTTACTTTATAATTAAAATATCAATAAATGCCGTTGGAATGCCATAGATAATAATTATCCATTTAAATTTTATGATAGTCAATTAACTCTACTTTAAAATAGAATCTAGGTAGTATGATGGATTATTGTAAACAATGTAAACGTAAATTTTGCTATGTTGTACACTGTACACTGTACGTTAGTAAGATGACAATAATGAATAAATGCGGGTGTGGCATCCTTTTAATAAAACATCAGAAGAGAATAATATTATAGTCTATAAAGGTAACTTATAGTTGATTTGTGCTTTACACCATTGAAAAACGTAAAAAATTCTCCTACATAACTTTAATTTTCTAAATGAATAAATTAAGTAATGTAAGTAATAGCTAGTTGGTTTGTTTTAAAAATATCGTGTACAACAACAACGTTATTAATAATAATGAAATGTAAAACAAACAATCTGGTACCATTGTACTAAGAATTTAAAATAATTATAAATATTTCAATATTTATAATATTATTATGTAAATTAAATTAAATTCTTCATTAAAGAAAGTTAAGCCGTAACTATGTTAAACTTAAACAGTAAACATAGGTAATATAAGATAATAAAGTATTGAAATAAATATTAACTAAGAACAACTAAAATTATTCTCACTTACTTAATATTTTAAATATTTATTTTTAAGTTCTTCATCGAGAAAAATTAAATTACGATAAGCCATTAAATTATAATATGATATGCAGGTTACCTTTTACTATACTATTTAATTATTTAAAATAAAGGAAACTATAAACTGTGTAAAGATCATAAATAAATTATTTTAATTTATTCATACAAATTTATTAGACTTTTGTAAGTAATATGCTTTTATTTTTCATACATATCTATGTACAAAAATATACCATTAATAATAATTTAAATAAATTGGTACTGATTTTAGATTAAAATACATCTAATAATATTATAATAAAAGATTAATTATACAAAAATCAAAATATTTTTAATTATTAATGTGTTAAAAATAATAAATCGTTAAACTTATATTAAAATTATAAATAATAGAATAATTAATACACATGCACTTTTTTAGTGCCAAGGATTAAACTAAAACGACTTTAGATTGTAGAAATTAGGTAATATAAAAATTAATATTGAGCTACTCAGTGACTTAAATAAAATTAGAACAAATATTGAGAGGTAGTAGAAGCGCTCAAAAGCTTATTATACCATTCTTATATTAATTTTAATTGATATGGTTCTTTATCACAGTATTAATTTAATTATTTTTTATTTATACCTAAATGTATTTTATTTAAGAAATTGATTTTTATAAAATTAGGACGATACCGACTATAGAGAATAATTATTTTTACAAGCAAATATAATGTATATATATTTATATTTAAATAGAGAGATGAACATAGAAGATGTGAAATGGAGAATAATCTAATAATCATATTATGAATTTTATGATACTCGTATATGACTAGGTATACCTATATTATATGTGTATAAAAAATAAAAACAGTAAACAGTAAACAGTAAAAAGTATAAAATTGTATTGTAAGTATATCTGTATATAGTTTATACTATATAAATATAATTATAGAGTTAGGGTAGCACTGTAATTACAGTATACACTTTTAACTAGGTATAATATGTAATTTAGTAAATGTTATATTATTGTAACTCCTATGAAAAATAGTTTGATGACGATAATAATAATAACAGTAATAAATAATATTACAACATTATAATCACTAAACCTCATAAAAATCAATTAATTGAAATATCAAGAAAATACTTTCAGTTAAGTTTCTTTACGTTTAAAACAATAAAACATGTGAAACAAAAGGTTTGAAAATATGATTTGAGGTTTTTTATACATTTTGTCTTTTATTTATAAATTACATAATGTGCAAGTTGTTATTCAATATTCCTTAACTATTAAATTATTGAATATCTATCACTATAGTATAAAAAGCTATTTTTTTAGCAAAATGACGAGATTTAGCTGCCGTGAATATGATTTAACACGTTTTAATGTTGACTAGGTACCTCCTACTGACTACTGCACGCAATCCATTCGATCGCTTACTGGGTGAATTCGATTGCTGCATCTCGAATCCATACAATTTCAATTTTTCACGCAGAAAAACTATTTGGCACTCGTATAAAGTTGTAAATTATTAATATACTGATGATACGTTACAATATTTAGTTTAAACATATTTGTGTCTAATAAATATACATATAATTTGCATATCTAATTTAAAAATATATATATATATATAATATTATTGAGCAAACATAGATTATAGGGTATGTATTTTGCCATTTGGAATCAACTGAATTGAATCTCAGTTTTTATAACAATTTAAAATTTTGGTTTTCGGTTTTCATTTACGTATTTCGATTTATAATAGTATTGCTGTAAACAACATTTTATAGTCGTTATAAATAATATTATATAGTTATATAGATATACTAAATAATAATATGTTATATTTCCAAATTAATTTGTTTTTTTAGAGAAATTAATTTAATTTTCTTAATTTTAAACACCATTTTATTTTTGAGTTTAAATACCAATTTTAATTATTATTTTTTTTCGATTTGAATTTTGTGTTTTAAATACCTACTATATAATATTAGGTATGTAATGTTAATTTTTTTCCTAAATTTTGTTTTTGTTTTAACCGTTTTTAAGTCTTGAATTATTTAGGCATATTATTATAGAGTGTGTTGTCAGTTGGATTCACAGACCGTACCTTTGACGACATCGTCCGTGTACGCCACCATTATCCGGTAGTTGATCTGCTTTGGGTCCGTTTTGCCGTACAGATACTTGTGTAGCCCGTTGCTGAGCGTCCACACCCTTTGTGCGGGCTCCTTATCGACCTTTAGGTCGTTGGGGAAGCTGAGCAATGTGGAACCGCTGGACAACAGGCCCTGTGTAACCGAGTTGAACGGGCGCCCGGTGTGCCAACAGCCCACTTTGCCTGAGGTCACCAGGTTGTAGTACATGACGCCCTTCGCGTCAACGGCCATGCCAGACGATTGACACGATTGGTGGCGGGCGCACCGCGAATCGTTGAGCGCAAAGAAATGCTCGATGATGTCACCATCGCCCAGGGTGTCGTTGCGCAACGATGCGGTGGGCACGTAGAACTCGTTGTTGCTCGACAGCGAATGGAAGTAGAGCACCCGTTGTCCGGCACCGCCGTCCGGCGACAGACACATGCCGAAAATACCGTCCATCCAGTTGAACGATATGCCGTCCATGGTGTAATGGCAGTATAACGGGTCTGGATAGAAATACGGATGGTTGATCCGGCGAGAGACGTCCTACAATAGTAATATAACATAGTAAAGTTATTATTTTAATGATTTTACGGTTGTTGTCAATTTCGAAGGGTACGTGACCGACGAAAGGTCAGTGCGCGCAAGCCATTTGAGTAGGTATAATGGATGTGATATTGTGATATATTATTATGATGACGGGAACATCTTACATAAGGTTTTTTGTTAACAAAAATGAATATATATTTTAATTAGCGCGATTGGTGTACCTACTCTACGCATACATTTATATGTAAGTACCTGTTTATAACTGTAAACAACCAATCCGTATTGAAATACATCAGACATATAAGCATACGCATCTTCACAATTATCGTTGAGAATTTCAACAACAATGTTTGTAAACAGCGAATCTTTCAACGTTTGATTTGTCGGGATAATGAAACGCTTGATATGTGTGTCAGTTTTTAAATCAAATACATCTAGTTTGACTGGACATATTTGATC